TGTAGTGAGAAGGACTCTGAGTTTCTGTTCTGTCTTCCCTCCTGCTCGGGGCTTTGTGTCAGCTCTTATAATTGGACGTCCATTTTCCCTCATCCAATGAGACCGTCCTTTGTGCAAATTATGGACTTTCTTCTCCCAAAGGAGATCAAAGATGAAACCGTTACCACGTGCAGTTGGAGTCGCATGCCTTGTTACCCAAACATTAGCTCTTTGCACCGATCTCTATTCACCCTGTGGTTTCCCTCAAAAGAGCGCAGTGACAGGAATACAGAGGCCGTTTGAGAGGACTGAAGTCTGAAGGGACGAGGTGAAGACAGTCCTCTTATTTCCACACAGCACCAAACACTTGGGACCATTCAGTGTGTCCTCAGATTTACTCTGGGCTGAAGTGGAAGTTTATCACACAGTTCAGTGTAGTCGTTCAGCTCAACTAGGAGACAGTAAAAACATGATGCGTTTATAGTTCAGTGGTAACTTTTGATTATGCCAGTTGTACACTAAAAGCTGTGATAAGATCAGATGTCCTGAAGAAGTTATGTATTTGTTATTCTTGTGATTGTAGTTCATCATTCAACCCTGAAAGTAGCAACTAAAGTCATAAATCAGTTTTGTTTTTAATCTAGAAACCAAAGTTACTTGAGGTCAAAGAGAAGACAGAGCAATGATTCCCCCACACAGCTGAGGATGAACAGTTCGTTAGTCCAATTAACCAATCACTGCATCATTGTTCAAATCATCCTCGATAATAAAGTTTCCAATAAAATCGGATGCAAATTTTAACTGAAAACTGATGAATTACTATAACAGCCAATAACAGAAAATGTAGTTAATGTTGCCTTGGTTTTTATAATGTGGTGATGAATTATTAAAACCGCACATCAAAAACATGTAAATGAACAAACCTTGAAAACAGCAGTGTGTTTCAGCAGTTAATTGACTGCTGAAACAGTTCTTTTCTGTGTTCATTGTTTTGAAATAGAAGTCTGTCTCAGCAGAGAATCTTGAAACCTGATCCAAACACAGGAGTCAGTAGAGCTTATCTCAGGGTGTTAACCCTGTCCACCTGGCGTGGAAGCTCCACTTGGGGGATGTTTGTTCATCATATGCAGATGAGGCACCATCTTTGGATCCAATGTTGGGTCTGAACAAGGCAAAACTGGCAGAGGGCAGCTAACAGGATTGGACGTGCAGATTAAGACCCCAGTGAACGAGGAGAGGCAGATAGCAAAGGATGAGGAGGGGCTGCATCTGTCAGCACAGCAAAGCCCACCTTCTTACCTTGCTGCTGGGGCGGGATAGACTCAGTCTATGGTCTCCTGGGTGTGGGTGTGAGAGGCAGAGGGTGGTGTGGTGGCGCGTCCTGTCTATTCTCCTGCACAGTGATCACATTCTCATCAGGCCCAGAGCCAAACTCTCAGCTGGGATCTGAGAGAGCTCTTTCATGCTTGGTTTTCTGAAACCACGGCTAAAAACCTTGGGCAGCCAGGCTTGTTGTAGATTCTTTTGAGGTTTTTTTTAAAGCAACAAAACACAATATCAATGTTTGGCTGTTGTGCGAAACAATGGATCACATGACTACTTGTATGTTTAAGGTGTCTCTTGTACAAACCACAAAGTATTACTAGCCAATTTTGCAGTTCCCTTCAGTTCTACGAAGCGTTTCAGCGTCTTCACAGGACCCTGTGTTGGTTGGTGGTCTGGGAAGTGCCACAAACATCCTAGAATCACTCCCTGCAAAGTCCAGGGAAATATTTACATGTTTCCGCATTAGCGCCGACCACTGACTAAATGCATACAGAAACCACTTTACAGACTAACACTTGATGTATGGGTCTACATAATTGCTCAAGGCCTCACTTGTTTTGTTTTGTTTTGATACGGGTTGATTGATGACGGACGAGTTTGTGTGCAGACGTGCGAGATTGAGCGGATGCCTGCTCGCATATGTTGATGTGTACGAGCATTTCTCCATTTTGCAGCTTGCCTTGCGTCCGTTTGTGAGTCGGCATCATTACCACACGTGTTGCCTGAGGACACTGACAGCCTCATTATAGAGGCAAAAAAGATGCCTTCCAGGGTAATCGTCTCTCGCACTGGTCGGGCTTGTATGGTGAGTTCCTACCGTGTGTTCACGTAGAGGAGTGGTGCTTCCTGGCACCTGGTGACCTCTTTGTTTTTAAAGGTTTGGAGGTTAAAGCTAAAAGGGTTGGGTGGGGGGGGGGGTTGGAACCCGGTTTATTTTTGCTCAGCACATTCTCACAGACATTGACGCAACTGCTTTGGAATTTCAGCTCCTTGTAATTTGCAAATGGTCTCTAACTTGACAAAGTACAGTGGGTACGGAAAGTATTCAGACCCCTTTAAATTTTTCACTCTTTGTTTCATTGCAGCCATTTGTTAAAATCAAAAAAGTTCATTTTATTTCTCATTAATGTACACTCAGCACCCCATCTTGACAGAAAAAAACAGAAATGTAGAAATTTTTGCAAATTTATTAAAAAAGAAAAACTGAAATATCACATGGTCATAAGTATTCAGACCCTTTGCTGTGACACTCATATTTAACTCGCATGCTGTCCATTTCTTCTGATCCTCCTTGAGATGGTTCTACTCCTTCATTGGAGTCCAGCTGTGTTTAATTAAACTGATTGGACTTGATTAGGAAAAGCACACACCTGTCTATATAAGACCTTACAGCTCACAGTGCATGTCAGAGCAAATGAGAATCATGAGGTCGAAGGAACTGCCCAAGGAGCTCAGAGACAGAATTGTGGCAAGGCACAGATCTGGCCAAGGTTACAAAAGAATTTCTGCAGCACTCAAGGTTCCTAAGAGCACAGTGGCCTCCATAATCCTTAAATGGAAGAAGTTTGGGACGACCAGAACTCTTCCTAGACCTGGCCGTCCAGCCAAACTGAGCAATCGTGGAAGAAGAGCCTTGGTGAGAGAGGTAAAGAAGAACCCACAGATCACTGTGGCTGAGCTCCAGAGATGCAGTAGGGAGATGGGAGAAAGTTCCACAAAATCAACTATCACTGCAGCCCTCCACCAGTCGGAGCTTTATGGCAGAGTGGCCCGACGGAAGCCTCTCCTCAGTGCAAGACATATGAAAGCCCGCATAGAGTTTGCCAAAAAACACATGAAGGACTCCCAGACTATGAGAAATAAGATTCTCTGGTCTGATGAGACCAAGATTGAACTTTTTGGCGTTAATTCTAAGCGGTATGTGTGGCGAAAACCAGGCACTGCTCATCACCTGCCCAATACAATCCCAACAGTGAAACATGGTGGGATCATGCTGTGGGGGTGTTTTTCAGCTGCAGGGACAGGACGACTGGTTGCAATTGAAGGAAAGATGAATGCGGCCAAGTACAGAGATATCCTGGAAGAAAACCTCTTCCAGAGTACTCTGGACCTCTGACTGGGCCGAAGGTTCACCTTCCAACAAGACAATGACCCTAAGCACACAGCTAAAATAACAAAGGAGTGGCTTCGGAACAACTCTGTGACCATTCTTGACTGGCCCTGCCAGAGCCCTGACCTAAACCCAATTGAGCATCTCTGGAGAGACCTGAAAATGGCTGTCCACCAGCAAGGAAGAATGGCACAGGATCCCCAAATCCATGTGTGTTGCATCATTCCCAAGAAGACTCATGGCTGTACTAGCTCAAAAGGGTGCTTCTACTCGATACTGAGCAAAGGGTCTGAATACTTATGACCATGTGATATTTCAGTTTTTCTTTTTTAATAAGTTTGCAAAAATTTCTACATTTCTATTTTTTTCTGTCAAGATGGGGTGCTGAGTGTACATTAATGAGAAATAAAATGAACTTTTTTGATTTTAGCAAATTGCTGCAATGAAGCAAAGAGTGAAAAATTTAAAGGGGTCTGAATACATTCCGTACCCACTGTATATGAATTATTTAGTCATTTCGACCTTTGCTTAGTCTCACAGCTATTCCAAACCACAATAACTCCCCTTATTTTGTTAAATTCTATTTATATTATTTTACCATTAATCTCGTTGAGGCTTTGATAAATGGACCATCTCACTTGCTTAGGACGCATTACCTAAATAGTCAGTCATTCGGAACCCAGATTCAATTTTCTGGCCATCCCAGACCAAAATCATTATATGGGTATTAGTGTCATGAGGTCTTCTCTCTGACAAATGAAGCGTTCATAAATCACCAATGGATGCATATTACAATCTTATTGTATAGACATATTTGCTCATTTAATTGATAGAATGCTCATTATGTCTTCTGCTTAAAATGGTTGACTGCCATTATATAATAGTTTAAACTAGTTTGATGCACAGATGACATTGGCATTATCTCTAATCCAACCATTCATCTTCAATAGTAGTGAAAGCACACTTTGGTTGCACAATAGTTTCTTCGTCATTTTCTTATTAAATTAAGTTCTCATGGCCCTTTGATGGAAAACAGTTAGTCACTTACTGGAATGCGTTCACGGCTGGGCGTTGATTTTACACCTGCGTTACCTGGGTAGCTTGTGAAGCGACTGTCATAAATTCCTTGCCCAGGCGCCTGCTGACTGAGTTAGTAATCTGCAGGAGCACCACCTGTTACTCAACTGCCATCAATCACAGTGCTAGACACAGGTCATGGGCTCAATTCTCCGCAGGACAAAACATTGCTTATGTTGGGAGATGCCGCTTTAAGACTGAACCTCCCCTGAAGTAGCTCATAGTAGATATTGAAGCTCCAAAGCTTTGGGTCTTGTCAGTCTCTGCTTGCTTCTTCATTGTAAGTTCCTGGAAAACAAATCACCAACTAAATAAGATAGTGTTTTACTAGGACAGGAACTGCCCTCCCACTTTTATCCCCCACTGACTCGCATGTCTTCCCAGTGAAAAGTGTATTGACAAGTACAAAGTAGTTGGATCAGGATCCTCTCTCTTTGTGCCAGAGCTCACAAGTCATATGACATAATTGATGTCAAACTGAAGCGCTGCGGTCACAGGGAGACAGGGGAAAACACTCCTGAGGCAAAAGTCAAGGAGCCCTTTCATTGGCTGTTTGATACTCCTGTCGCTCTGCCAGTCAGCTGCATGAACACACACACATTTTCTCTAAGCTTTTTCACTGCCAAGTCTGTCTTTACATTATCTTAGATCTCCCCGAGTGGCGGCAGCAGCAGTATAAGTAAAGCGGCCAGTGTTCAGAAGCCACATCATGACTGAGTGTGAGTTTTGGACAGGAGCTGTAGTCTCAGAAAGAGGAGAAACAGCCGCCCTGGAGTCTGAATTAAACTCCTGTCTTGACTCGTGTTAAAGTTTAATGTCCTTACATGCGTTCACAAATACCAGCCAGTCGCTGCTTCACACACAAACGCATGAAAACTGGCACGCTCTCCCGGGCAGCTAACCGCAGTTGGTCTTGCCCAGGTGATTTAATCCGAGCTGACTTGCTGGTTAAATATTGACAAGAGCTGATGTGGCCTTGCTGAGGAGAGACGAGAATTCAGACGAGGCTTTTCGCTGCCAAGGCTGCCTGCTGCATCATCATTCCAACTCACACACACACACAGACTGCCAAACACACACATGCACACAGTGGCAGGCAGCAGCTGAGACTCAGCAAGGCAGTTAGGGCAGAAGAGGCGAACGAAGCGGAAGAAGAGGAAGGCGAGCAGATGAGAAAAGCGGACGCAGGATGAGCCAGTTCTTGGACCACGGCATCGTGTCGGTCTGCGGGAGGATCCGAAACGTTCCCCTGCTGGAGCTGCTGGCGGTGAGTATCGGTCCATACGCTTCCCCTCCGGTTCCCTCCATCCCTTCCAGCCCTCTATCCGTCTAGGAGGTATCTGGGGCAGGAGGCAGGCTGTCTGGAGCTGCAAGTAGGTCTGACTGGGTGATAATCAGGCTAACATCCTGCCTTCCAGTCTGCCCAAATCCACAACCACCTACAGCGCTAGTGCCCCAGACAGGAGACAGGAATTGCCCAGGGTGAGAGGTGCAGGCCGAGGGGGAGGGTCGGTGAAGGGAAAGTTAATGTTCATCAGGAAGCAAGTGAAGTACAAGTTTGTATTTGATGCGTGCATGCAATATTTACCCCTTTTTGTGTTTTTTGTGTTGAAACAAATGGTTGACAATTTTGGATAATTGATTTAATGTTGAAGTCGAAGCAAAAAATATAATTAGCTGGTTCCATCTCCTGAAATGTGAGAATTTGCGGCTTTGCTTTTCTGTAAATTGAATATCTTTTGACTTTTGGTTAAACAAAATTGGTGCATTTCACAAGACTAAATGATTAATTGTCTAATATAAAACCAATTCTAAAGAGGAATTTATAGGAAAAGTAAATGAAGGCTTTGCCTTTTGGACTGAATACAGGACTTCTTGTGTGGCGCATCAGAGTGTAGCGATCTCTCCATGTTCCATATGTAGGTCACTAGCTGACAAGCTGCGACTACCACTAATTGTATGCGAGAATCCAGCTTGCATCATGTTTTCCGATACATCTCCAGACGGTCTGAATCAGGAGACCTGCCTGCCATCTGCACATATGCTTGAGATGGATTGTGACATTTGACAGTTTATTACCAGGTTGCCTAATGAGCGGTGTGTATGCGTTGATATGATTGTGTGTGCGCTTGGGGGAGAAACTGAGATTTGAATGTGTAGCAACAGCAGGATCTAAAAATATCACCTCTGTGTGAAGATGCTTTGATTCATGACTTTCTTTTATTTATTTTTATTTTTTTGGAGCGGGTACGGCTGAAATGATATCGTAAGTGCTTCGTATTATTGGATTGTCTAGAAGACGTAATTTGTGTTCTTTTGGAAACACAGCACAAGATAAAAAAAAAAGAAAATGGATTATTTTATCTGTGTTTCTCTCCAAGTCTCCTTCCTTCTTTCGCTCTTCCCTCCACTTCTTCTGAATTATTGAGCCAGAGGTGTTTTGTGGAAATCCTGGCGTTCTTAGCCTCTGCCACCGCATGGACACAATTATGCAGACAAATGTCTTGGCCGAGCTCCGAGGCTCCATATATCCTTTATCTAATTACATTAACAGCAGCTGGATAGTGACTGATGGCTCGTGGAGGAGAGGAGAGGGGGGAGAGGAGAGGAGGGGGGGGGGCGAACAACGAGGAGCTGGAGAGGCCCGGGATGCATGTTTGCATTTTTCCATCTTATTTCACTCGCTCGCTTCTCCTTGTGCCCAGATCACTCCCTGTGCTCCGTTTAGAAATCTCTCTCTCTGTGTGTGTGTGTGTGTGTGTGTGTGTGTGTGTGTGTGTCTGTCTGTGTGTGTGTGTGTGTGTGTGTGTGTGTGTGTGTGTGAGCCTTTTTCCAGCCTGTTCTATGTAGCAAAACTACTTCAGGACTGATTTCTTTCTTTCTTTTTGGCTGTAATGCATTGTGCCATGGATGTTGGCATTATGGCTGATGTTCTGCACTGTCCATCATATTTCTGTGATGTTTGTCTGCACTGAGGCTGCACTCAAAGCCTCAAACTAAATAAAGCTTTGTCAGGGCCACAAGAGACTCTCTCCTGATTACATTGCTTTTATTATGGCTTGACTGAGAGCGTTACGTGCACCGAGGCCACAAGTGAATGCAGACTTTTTTTGCTGCGCAAACAACCTTAAAAGTCCAAGAGTGCTTTTTCTCATCCTCAGCCGGCTGAGACTGTGCTGCCAAAATAAAAGCCTTTTCAACCTGCCCGTGGCAACAGAAGAATAGAGGAGGGAATGCACCACTCCTCATGACTTAGTCACCGCAAAGCAATTCTCTTTTTAAGAGGATGTTTTTCATGCTCCGACCCATTAGCTAATAAGTACATAATCCAAAGCATACCATTTGATTTTAGATTAAGTTCTTTTAGGGCAGCCATTGGTTTACATTCATTTTAATATCCACTTGCAGAATCTTGCTGGGGACGGCTTGTGTTTCACATTTTTTTCCACTTTTTGTCAAAGTGATTGTGTAGTAATGGAGTTCCAAGCCGACACTGTTATGAAAGTGTTCAGCAGAGCATGAGCTCCATCCCACTTCTATAATATCTGCTAATCCTGAGTTTGTTTTGAGTTTGTAATGTGTTAATACTGCAAAAGTGACACAATTAAAGGACATGCTCACATTTTTTCAAGCCTGTCAAAGCAATGTGTACATTGAGATTGCTGCAATCATTCCCTTCTGAACTCGTTCATGGACTTCAATGTCCTTGTAAACTCTATGGGAACAAAAAGGGGTAGAAAGAAGACATTGGAGTCGTGTCAGGAGGGGATCTCCTGACAGCCATCATAGACGGGTGGAATGATTACTAACGAGCCCAAATGCGTCACATTTGTTGTGCAAAAATGAGTGCCGTGCGACAGCACACCTGGCAGTGATGACTCACAATGATGATGATTCATAAGTGTCTGAAATGTCAACTTACTGAGCGTCTGGAGAATAATGAATGAGTGACACTTTTGTTTTTGTTTGTGTTGCCGAGCCACCTTGCCATGCACAAAGAGATGAGCAGCTCACAGCTGCAACACATTGACACTAATTGCGAAACGGCTTAAGAAGTTCTTGTGAAACAAAATTATTAATTCTCTGGATAAATAACATTAACATTTTTTAAAACTTTATTCAATCATTGATTTGGTCATTTAAATTACATTACAGTCACTTGGCAGACGCTGTTATCCAAAGCGACTTACAATTCAGATTCTATCACCTACACCGTAGGCGCAGCTACGGGAGCAATTTTGGGGTTAAGTGTCTTGCTCAAGGACACATCGACATTCGGCTATCGGAGCTGAAGCCGGGGATCCAACCCCTGATTGAAGGACGGCCCTGCTCTCCACTCAGCCACAATCGCATTTGAAATTGAATTACAAAAAAGATGGTGTTTGATATTGTTTTTAATCAGTGAAACATCAGAAACTAATCTAGTTTTTACTGTCTTTAGTGTCAGTGGTCCATGAACAAAGCCGGTGTCGGTAGTTTCCTGTTTTTCCCTGAGAGCTTTGCATCAGGCCTACAGGAGCTCAGCAGTCTGCTGGCTCACATTACTTTATGCTAATATCCCCCAGCTGCAACCTGCACCACCCTCCTGCTTCCCTGCCTTGCTTTCAGTGGCTCACACACACACACTCACACAAGCCCCCGGGACAGTCATGGGAGGGCCATAAAAAGGAAGCTGCGATGATTAATTAACTCTGCCCTCATTTTGATACCGCCTTATTGGCTTTCAACAGCCGAAATTCAGCTTCAGAGCTTTGCATGGATTAATTTCCCAACACCACCGCCGCCTCAACAGCTTCCACCCCAAACAGACACACAAGCACACTTCTGAAATATTGAGGTCATGTTGTTACTCATGCTACGGTGAATGCGCAACATTGGTTTCTGGGCAGGTTGTGTTGCTCAGCAGAGAGTGAGGTGTCTGCTTTGTTGAATGTTGGTTTCCCACTAATGAGAAAGAAGCCGCTCTTACAGGAAACTACCTACAGATACTGCTGACAGACACATTCATTCACCCAAAAATGGTTGAGGTTGATTTGGATTTAATCATGTGCAGGTGAATGATCTGGTTTCACGTATTGCTCAATATTCATCCCATTCCAACAACTACAAATCACACATGTTTGTGACAGGTGGATAATGTGCCCAAACACTGTTGCCCAATTCCTCTAACAGAGCAGTTTGGGTGGCGTCAGTCTATAAAATCTGAAGTGAAATGCCAACTCACTGCGGTGACTACGCAGCTACAAAAAAATGGCATTTGGCAACATTGTTGGCGTTTTGCTCAGAAACTAAGAGTTTAGGATAAAACTCAAATTTAGTGAAATAAGTTGTCTTGAAATTTCAGTTTTCTTCGTAAACAAAAAATTTTAATAAAATGACAAAGCACATAGTGTGTCTCACCTCAGTGTGTGTGGATGTGTGTGCGCCTGCTTGCGTATGCATTTATGTCAACTCAAATACGCTATCAATGCTTGTTCATGTGTGAGCAAATATACATCCTGAACAGGCCAGGTGAGTGTGTGCTTCCATGTGGTCACCTCACATGGCTGTAGTTGTGTGTAATAGTGAACACCAGGTGCTCCAGCTGGTTGTGGCCCGGCCCTGACCGACCGTCCTCTGGTCCCCTGTAATTTTTCCATTGATGACAGCCTCCGAGTACAGACAGCTCTGCAGCTTTAAAGGCCCTGTCAGCTCCCTGCAGCAGAGCTAGACACAATACAACAGTGCTCCTGTATATTGTCTATACACTGGGGAAAAGCCTGCAGCACAGCTGTCTTTCATTTTGGTTTCAAACTCTGTTTGCTATCCCTTCTGCTTCTCTCTGGCCTGTTCTCTCTCTCACATTGTGTACACATAGTGAGTCATCATCTCCCCTCTGAACAAAAGATCACCTGCTTGGCTGTGTGATGTGTCACAGGGTGGGAGCCCTAAGGGGAAGCCTGTAGCCCCATGTGGAAGTTTGTTAATTCTGTCTCATAATGAGTTATTATCATCTCCCAGAAAGCACTGAGGGCAATTTTACCCACTTGATGCGAGTTATTGTGTTTTTGTTGGATATTCAGTGTTATATTGGTGGGTAGAGAGTTTGTGTAGCCTCTGACCCTCCTGGTCTTTGTTGCTCATCGTGAGAAAATGGGTTTAATTCTGTCTGACATGTTTTAAAGAAAACGTCCAGTGGTTATTTTCATAGCATGAGGCAATCCCTCCGATGTTTCTCCACAATATCCTGCGCTGGAACTCGATGATATGCAAACACAGCAACAGAGC